ATTTGTAAAATGTATAGAACGTGGTACTGTGCTAGGTATGTGCACATACTGATGTCTGATATGATGATATATAGATGATATCTAGAAATAGATGTAGGCATGAGTGTACATAACTTAAGAAATTTGTATAGAAAAGGAGAAAAAAATTTATTTTATGCCAGTTTAATTACAGATTATTATTAGGTAGTAGGTACTTATCCAGAGACTCCCGAAGTTCCGACAAATATGTCGCGAAATTATCCATATTATGCTGTTTATGCTATTATTTTATTTTTATGACGTATGTTAAATAATATATTTTATTCCTAATATAATTTTATATTGAATTGGAGATTTTATTTAGTGGATTATTTACATTTATTGTAATTGTCCAGACAAACGTTAGCACCTTACCTTCAACCTTGTAATAAATCTCTAATTCTAATAAAATAAATTTAATTAATTAACAGGTACGTAAATATCTACATTAAATTTGTAGGTTAGTTTATAAAGTCGTTATAATTAAAATTATTAAAATATATTGTATTCATTTTTATCTTATATTTTAATTATTTATGTTTATTTAATTTGCCCAAATAAATGCTGTCTTATAATAATAATTGTATCTCTGATAAATAAGTTTGTATAATATACTTATATACTGAGTTTGTCATGAGAATGTAATATGTATAAAAAAACAAAAAGTGCCGTCAACTGACATGACTTAATGGGGTAGGTATGGAGTCCTGCAATGATGGCGTGAACTATTAAATTTCACGAGGCAAATATAGATGTTAGATATTGACCATCATCACCACCACATCACCATCTAAATTTTATAACGCAGACCTATGGGGGTAAAACCCCCACACGCCCAATTAATAATTTTACAATAATAGTATACTTTATCGCGGTGGTTTTGTATTTTATAAGTATTCATTATTATCTATGATATAGTGTCATGTTTCACCACAATGGCACAATCCCAAATAGTATTTTTATAATTATAATATTTTATTAATATCATATCTCCATTAAAAAATAATATTATACCTAATATAAATAATTATATAATATTAAATAATACTATGAAAATATTAATAACTTAACGTCATAATCAAAATATTAAAATAATATTCTGGATATGATAGCATTACGTAATTATAAATGAAATGTTTAAATGGTATTTTAAATATAAGTATTGATAATATAACTTAAAAAATGAAATGATATATCTAATAACATTCGAGTATATTATTATTTTACTATAAGAAATTTATTGTTTTAACAATATTTCGAATATGTTAATAATAAGAAATCATAAACGAAATTATAAAATAATATTAGGAAAAAAATATCATAGTATCATTTAAATCTGATTATTTATTTACCCAGATAGAATTTTCGTAATGATAATGCTTTGCTAATAATATATTTTCATTAAAACAATAATATCATCGAATAGAATTAATTTAACAGAATTTAAAATAATCATTTTCTAAAATAATATTATGAATCTATTAATAATATGGTAATATGGTGGAGTGACACAGAAAATGCGTTAGATATATCAGAGATAAGCAGGGTCGGACTGGTGTCAAAAGGCCCAGTCTACGATTTGATCAAAGAGCCAAGTTTACTAAAATTTGTTAGCTTCACTTTTTTTCCTTCATTGTCGTATTTAATTAAGATAACAATTAAATATAATGAAAAAAAAATACACACATATTATAATAATGAATATTATAGGAAAAAAATTAATTTTTGATATAGGTACACTTAAAATAATACATAGATATAGGTATAATAAAATTATTATTTATAAATAAAACAATTTACAACAATTCGTTTGACCATTAACAATAATGAAACGATACCTGCAAATGATAAATATTTAAATGAAAATAATTAAAAAAACATAAATAAATAGCTAATTAGAATTTTAAATAATTTTTTTTATAATACAAACTTAAAACAACAGTTTAGAACTACCTGGTATGAAATAAAAGGCTTAGTAGAAAGGATTGAAAGTCTTGAGAATGCACTTTTAAACAAAGGATTCAAAGAAATTTTCAATGATGATTTAATCTTTAACTATCTCTATCAGACGAAGAATAAAATTATAAATCTTCAAACAAAAACTTCTGGATACAGTATTTAAAAAAAAAAAAAAATGGTAAAAAATTAATATAATTTATTGTTATAAATTTTTTGGATATTATTGTATATAAATATTTTTAGATTTCAGAATTATCCTGTTTATTATTATTACCCATTTATTTGATATCTTAAATCTTAGCACGATACTCAATAATCAAATTCTTTAAAAAAACGCATAATCTCTCTTTTTAAATGATTGTGTTTTTTATGTCAGCCTGTAAATTGACTTATTGATTTTTTTACATTTTCTATGAATACAACTCTATTTTTGTCGGCAGTAGTAGCATATTTTAAATTTTTTCAAAAAATGTTATAAAATTAAAAATTGCTCACAAAAAAAAGTTGTTTTTTTTCATCATATTAAAGAATATATAAATCATTACAAAATTAACAACTTGGTGTCGTGAGATTGTTAAAATTGTATGCACTTATTTAATCCAGACGTACAGGCTTGGTCATTTTAAAACCCTAAATAATAATTATTATAGATTACCTATTTTATATAAATATTAAATACAACTGAATTTATATGTTAGGTACAGATCTCTATAGGTATAAGTTATGAGCCACCAACTAACCAAACTTATTATCCACCTACTGAAAAAAATTCAAAGGCCATGGCCTCTCAAAAACCTCTTCACTACAACCACCTCACTATGAACTATAGTATCTCCTATAAGCGAAAACATTCTGCCTAGATATTATTCACTACTACTTTATGCTTACAATGCTTACATATTGGACGATTCACATTCATCAATCATGCTAAACCAGCCATTTTTACGTTTAATAATAAATTTATTAAAATTGTGATTTTGAATTTTTTTAGTATGTATAGTTATACACTATACAAGGACCAGATATTTAAATAGATATTTACTATAAGATTTTTATACTATTTAAATAGATTCTTTTATACGACGATAATTTTTTTTTTCAAACATATCTATGCTATTTCACTACAAACGATTTTTTGAACATTTTGATAAATCTAAATCATAATTTAAACAGTAGTTTCTCAGTTATTAGTCCCTATTTACCAAGTGTAATACATATAGGTAATTCTAAAATTTTTTAGAAATGTAGGTAGCTATATCTAAAATCAATTTAATTGATCTTTAATTTAGTACGAGTAAATAGGTACCTAAGTACTTACTATATTAAAATTTTACTTAATATCAATTATAAGTACCTTAGTAGTTAGTAAAATAATACTACCTACTATAAAATCAAAACATCATAGGTTGCATTGTCTCCTTATTATAATTTTAAACTAATTATTATGAACCCATAGTTAACAGCATATAGTATAGGTAGTTAGTAGTTAGTATCGACACAAGTTCAAAAGATAACTAAAAAATTATTTATTGATTTAGATGTGGGTACCTTACAATATTTTAAAAAGTCACCTTAATATCTGATTAATAAAAAAAAAGGATAATTCTTATTTGAATAAAATACATTAACAAATATAATGTAGGTACTACTGGTACTAGATACCTACCTAATACCTAATATATATAATTATTAATTACCTATATGGCTATACAAAATTTTTATATAGGTGTATAAGTATAGAAGATAATAAATAAGTAGATATCTACATAGTACATGATTCTACCAAATCTTAAAATTTGTTTTAAGACTTATTAAAAGTGAGGTTATGTAATTGGAAAAATCCAAAAAAAGTTTATCAAAATGTAAGCACTTCAAGCGTAAACCATAAGTGATAGGATTGGATACAATTACATATGAAAATGATGAAATATATCCATGTATGGCCTGTATAGGAAGCTAAATCTATATACATTATTAGCTCTAGAGATTTCTTTTTTTAGGTACCTAACTGGTAGATTATTATGTGTTCATGTATACATTATGGAAATGGGTCCTCAAGAATTCTTTCATATGTGTACATATAATTATAGCCTATAGATGTATATAAGATTTTATTGATTCAACATAAATTATTCCTTAAAGTAGGTAGCAACATTCCTAAAATCAATAAACAATTTATAATAATTGTTACCATTTACCAATAACTATATTACAAGTTATAACATGATTTACAAATTTAAATATTTGTGATAAAGCAGAATATAATATAATATGAAGACGTAAATTATGTACATGTATATAAATATATAACACATAAGTACATAATATTGTGTTTATATACTATTACAAAAAGTACTTAATACCTTTAATTAGTATTTAAAATTTAGATGAGCACGGCACATTTAATACAATATCAGTGCACTATTTACTGTCTCACTCCGACCAACACATAATAATATCAAATTTTTGTTCGGGAGAACTAATCATTGGTTATTTCCTTTAATATTAGAGTAAACTAACCTATTATACAATTTCGAGTTAAAAATATTATATTTGGTTGTATTTTCGTTTATTTACAATATTTTAATTTTTCTGAGATTTATGAGCATTTTTTTAAAATAACATTTTACAACTTGTTGCATGAAAACTGAAATATATATTTTTTTAATTAACTTAAAATTTTATAATAGTTCAATTCAATATTAAAGTTAACAAGTAACAATACAAATTGGTTCAGTTGAACATTAATTTGATATGTTGTGCATTGGTCAGACAACAAACGTTATGCAATAATAAGTAAAAAATTTAAACATAACAATATTACATTGTACTTAATCTGCAAGTCAATTTAAAACATTTATTAAACAATGAAATTCACTATGTAAATAAGGGTATATTTTTGGAGAGGGAATAAAAGAGATGACAAAAATAAAACACTAAGTTTTGTTTTGTCTAACATTAGAACAATCAAAGTCCATGGACATCTCAGTAAATAGGTAAATATAAACATATCATATCATCAAAACAATTTAAAATTCACGTTTATTATAAAAATTAAACTACTTTAATCCAAGAATGTAATTTAAAAATTGTATAATGCTCATTATAATTGGTCCCCATGCTACAAACCAGCGTATCCAATCTAATAGTTGACCATACAAAACATGAGGTTTTTCCCACCTAGAGAAATAAATAGTTAAGGATATGCACAAATTACATTAAAATGTAAATATCATACATTTAAACATTAACATAAGTAAATCATTATGAATCAAAATAATTATAAACACACTATCATTTAAATTTAATAGGTATCAAGTATTTCAAATAAACATAATCTTACAATAATATTTTACTCAAAATTATTAAAATTTCGTAAATTAAATAATAAATTTTTGATTTATTGATAATTGTATTTAATTTTTATTATTTAGTTAATTATATTTAGTACAATATAATAAACTCAGGACTTTAAACCAGAATAAATGCTATTTCCTATACAACTCTAAAACAGGGTAAAAACCAAATAGGTACTTAAAATAAAATATTTAATAAAAGTATTAAAAAAAAAAATCTTGAAATACTCAATAAGATAAGACAAATAACAAAAATGATTTTGATAGTAAATATTATAGTTTTTTGATCTTTGAAATTCATCAGCACTAAAAACATAGCAAAATTTAAAGAAAATAAAAATTTTTAATCTATATTTTATGCACTAAAATATTAATGATTTAAATATAAACTATTTTATAAGCATAAGGTATCAATAAAGTTTTTAATATCCATATCATTAATAAGAAAACAAGAGCCCAAACTAAAAACCAAAATTAAATTATTCAGTTTCAAAGCTCTAATAATAAGTTTTATGTGCAAGACATACAACTATAAATTTTAAAATTTTGTATCTATAATTAAAAACAAATAACAAATTAATAATTTAAAAACTATAAATACTATATTATAATTAGCTTTCCTCTATTAATGATATATTATTCAGAAATATCATCATTCTATTAAAAATATATATTATTTAGTGATGTTAACTCAACAATGGGATTTTGTACAAAATTAATATGCCTAGGTTTTCATAAATGATAATTTTATCAATAAATTTGCTTATTCACTTTTAATTAAGCTATTGGAACTTGCGTTGTATGTTATCTACATGAAAAATGTATTTACCACAATGTTTTGTTGGTGTTGTATGTTATCTACAATTTTCTACCTCACAATATGTAGATTGTAATTGTTGTTTACCATTTGAGAATTATTACAATAAAGAACTTTTTGTCATATATTTAAAAACTATTCACCACTAATTCACCACACAATAGTCACCACTCTTTCATTAACTGCCGTTCTAAGTTGGTGGCACCACGTGTGTTTATGCTGTATTTTACTTTGACACTCCTCCATGTAAATTCTTTAGATTGAGTATAGGCCCCTGTTTCCGAATCAATGAAGTAAAGCTGATGATTTACACTTTTATACACATAGCTGTGGTCACTTAAATTACTGTAAGTCCTCCATTTGTCCGAGTACAATATCAGTCTCCATACAACGTAGATATCACCCATAACATAAATAACATACAACACAATCTAAGTTAATGTAGATAACATACAATACAAGCTCCAAACTATTTTATAAAATGATTATAAATATATATTATTTTGAATATTTCATCTTAATCTATAACAAATATCTTTATAATAAAAAGGATACGGATTACGAAACATTCTTTTCAAATCGACTTTTTCTTTACAATATGGGCATGTTTGTTTTTTACCAACAATACACCATCCTCGAATACAAAATTCATGAAATCTACAAATGTAAAAATACAACGTTTTGATAATTATTTTATTTTATTTTAAGTATAAATCTAATAAATAATTTTTAAAAATCTTACGTATGATCACATGTTAATTGGAAGGTAGATTCAATTATTCCTTCTTCACCAGCATTCACCAATAATTTATTTCCACAAACAGCACAAATATTTTTATCTAAGCTTCTAGTTGGCATTCCTTGAGGCGTATAATACTAATAATGTTAATACAACAATAAATAATTAATAACATTTAGATGGTTAGATAATATATCAATTTTTTATAATTATTGCTCACTAAATTTTATATTAAAAAATAATATTGTGATTATTACTATCATAAAAGATTAGTTTTACAAACTGAACATAAACGAAGAATTTGTATGTCAATCAATTATGTGTTATTCCTTGCAAAATATTTTTTAACAAAGTGCTTTAAAGAAGTTAAATATTTTGTATAAAGTATATTGTGTAATTTAATGATTTTTTTATAAATTTAAAATTCTTACTCCCAAGTGTGCAGCCATTTTAGATGCACATATCTCAGCAATATCTTGTCCTAAGACACCAAAATACAACCCATAGTACATTATTATCAATCCATAATCCATCGATGTAACTGGGTTAAGATTGAACATAACACCAAATCCAAGAAATACAGCAACCATGATAATGTATCCAACACTACCAAGTACGTAGGTTAGTTTGTAGATGAAATAGAACCATTTGTACACCAATCTGGATAACATTTATGCCATCACACTACATACAACATGATGTATTATTTTATATAAGTTTTCGCCTTAGCGATAACTATGACAAGCCAAGGGTGCCCACAAGTTGTAATGAGACAGTAAATGAAAAGTCATAAGATAGTCTAGAAACTCAAATTTTAGGTATTTTTTTACATTCAAGAGAGATTAATCATAAGTTTAATATAAGCTACACTGTTTTTCAAGTGGGCGCCCTTCTAACAGGCATTACAAGCATACCTAGGTGTTGATCCTTGTAAAGGTTTTTCTAAAGCTTTTCGTACCACAAGTCCTGTGATCAATGAAAACAATGTCCAAAATACAATAAACCTCCAATATGACATACGAATTGACATTAAAATTGGTATTAACCATAATGCTAAAAATGTCACAACCTAAAAAATTAATCAGTTTATAAAAAAAGTTTTAATATAAATGTTAAAAATACAATTTACTTGAAATGATTTAAAATGCCTTCTTTTCCATTCCAATAATACTATTTGTGCAACAATCATAGTAATCATTAAAATTACTAACATCTCAGCATGCATCGACTCATGACCTTTATGAGCTTCATGTAATTTCCGATGCTCTTCTCTAAGAATTAAAATTATTACATAATAAATTAATAAATTATTTTAAATATTAAAATACAAGAATTCTTTATTCACTAACTAAAAACAAAAATACATTTATGTATTTATTAATTCCTAAGAGGATTCCTAACTAACAATATTCATTTTTGTAGATATCTATTAAAGTATGTAGATATATTATTCATTTATTCAATAAATAAAAATAATTTTTAATTAAATGATAAGTTAGAATGTTAAAACTTAACTGTTATTAAATTTATACTTTTTATTTTTATTTCTGTAACTAAAAATCTTCATAGAAAAATTGACTATAATAATGGTCAATAGCTTTTAATTATTAATGTGGTTGTATATTAAATAATTATACTAATAATTTATATTTTGAATGACGTTATTGTCAACTCTAAAAGAAGTACCTGTGTTGTATTATCTATAGATAATTACACTTATGGTATAATTTAAATAGTTTAAAAGTTATACTGATAATTAGTTTATTATATTATAATATACTGATTGATTGATGTTGTTATATTTTTATTCATGAAATATGCTGTTATTTTTTATATTTTATTGTAATTAAATATAATACATATTTTATACCATTATTTTATCCTTTTAGTTAATAATAATTAAATAGTCAATGCTATATTTAAGTAAATACCGGATTTTAATGATTTATATTATTAAAATACATCAATTAAAAATGTATTTTTAATGATTTGTACATTAATAAATGTATACCTCATTTGTTCTTCTCGGGTCATAATTCTTGTGGCATTTTCCACTGGTTCAATCTATAGTAAAAATATTTATCAACAGTTCACATTTTGTATAAATAATCATGTGCTTATTATTATTGCTTAAAAAAACTCACAGCCATATCCGTGATGTTTATAACATCCATTTCTTGATTTCAACTAATGCTGACAAATCACTTAATCAATATTTTTTTAAATTTCTAACAAAGTTGTTGATACATTGTTGAATGTATTTAAATAATTTAATTTCAGTTTACTGTATCTAATAAAAAATAATAAATTAAATAACACAATATTAATTATACATAAATAATTTTGTACTAAGCTACTGAATAAAAACACAGACCATATAACGGACAATATGATATTCTATGATACTTACCTTCAAAAGAAAATGTTGAGATATTTTAATAAAAACAGTCTTTAAAAGGATAAACTGAAAGTAGGTACGGATAAACAGTTGCAACTAGTAAATTTATTTGTACAACTAGGTAAAAAGTATAACAAGGAACTGTAGCATATTTTTTTTTATTTAGTCTATCAATATTTACTTTTTGTAAAAATGATTATTTATTGTATAGTGATAAAAAGTAAATTAATACGTCTATAGACCATCACAGACTGTAGATACTTAATAATAAGTATAATAACTATAGCTATAGCATGATAATTATTTTCTTATTATTAATATTTTATGTTTAATCATCATTTCAGTCTTTAATCATTAATCAATATATTATCTATAGTATTGGGGTTCAGTCACATTCTTCTATAGACAAGTTGTCCTACACATTATTATTTTGCGTAATATCATCGATTTTATAATAATAACGTAATTTATAAAACGTTATTATTAGGTATTTAAAATAATTTACCGTGTATCTATAATACCATTATCACTTTATTAAAGACTACTGTTCAAATCATTATATACCTAATAAAAACGTAAAAAAAAGGTGCAAGTTTTGTCGGCCTGTTATAAATAGGTAACTACATAATATAATAAGTATATTATATAACCTCGTTAGTAATAAGTTATTATGTATAAAAAATAAAAATTTATCAAAGGTATAACTGTATAAGTCTTAGAAAATCCATTAAAATACTTTTTTATAATACAATTATATTCTATTTTATATGTACAATTGTAAAAAAAACTGTTTCCTGTAATTGTTTTCTTAATAACTTGAGTAGGTACCTAAATTATTTTATTGCAATTCAATAAACTAAAAAGCAGTTAAATTTTTTTAAGTTTTATATAGAGCGTTGGGACCTATTGAAAATGACAGAGCCCAATCATCATGAGACAGACCTACACGGCTACACTGAAGTTTCTATCTATTTTGATATATACCCAAATCAAATAAAACTTTTCATGTTATAAATATAAAAATTCAAAAAAATATTCAAGATTCAAAAAAATCAGAAGTAACTTAATGATTGTTAGAAAAATTATATAAATGTATACCTTATTGGTTATTAATTATTATTTTATTAATTTAACGTAACTGGTGTCGTGACCTGCTAAATACATGAATCCTAGAAAATCCCCTTATTAAACTGAAACAAAATAAGTATTAGGTAGTGTCATCAATGGGTGGCTTCTTCCGTCATACTTTTCATGTTTTATTACTCTTATCAAATTTACTTATTATTCTTTGAATAAATTTTAAATATTTTGTAAAAATAAAAATAAATGTAGGTATTATCATATAACCAGTCAACAGTCCAGAACTCGAGGTATATTTGTACCTATAACCTATATGACTATATCTATTGTGTGTCCACTGGTAACTGGTAATGACGGGAAGTGAATTATTTCAGTCACAGATGACGTTTGAGGAACAAACTGCAAGTGAGGGTTTCATTTTACCCCATCACGGTAAAATCGTGATTTCACCTAGACTGGAATTGCCATGTTTTATACTGGGAAATTTTTTTTCACGCTTTTTCCACCTTCGTAAACACCTCTATCGACTTTATAGTAATTCATAATTAACTGTTCTTGTTATTCTCATCAACTACTAACTAACCAACTAGATTCGTTTAACTGTTTCATACAGTGCTTGATTTAGAAAAAAAATAGAAGGGGGACTCATCGGATGTTTGATAAACGAGCGTTCCACATAAAATTAACCATCACATTACCGTGGGGGCAAATACAAGGGGTACGCTAAAAAAAAATTAAAAAAGAAGGGGTACTCCCCCCCCCAAATCAAGCACTGGTTTCATATACCTAGTAACCTACTACCACCTAGTATTTTATTTAATAGATAAAACGTATCGATACTTTAATGTTCATTTTTGACTACTGTGTTGCCGTGCGTTTCGATTGTTGCGAGGATTTCCAGTTTTCCATCCGATGTGAAGTAGGATTCTCACTTTTACATCGTCCACCGGATCGATTTTTCTACAATAGTCATCATTACGCTTCGACTGGCATCGAAAATTAAACTTTTCTCAGGCGTGACAAAACACTATTTAAGTATTCAGCAATGACGGATGGCAAAGATTATTATATAATTATAATGATAATAATAATATGACATTATACATTTATACGTACCTATGTATGTACCTATATCTTAATTCGTGATTCCGCATGATGAAATATTGAAATTATGTGATGAACGTTTGAACTTGATCTGTAGACATTACCTAATGGCTAATACCTACTGTGACACTGTTGAACTGTTTTCAGAGTTCAGTGTTCAATTGTTCAATATACACCAATGAAATACTTAACTCCATCGGGCACCGATTAATAAGATACAAGCAATTTATGATTGGTTTTGGATTAGATCGTATACAAATATGTATACTGTATACACAGTGACGCCAAACTCATCTATCATATTATGAAGGGATTGCTTCATTTTTCAAATGAGTAAGTGAGTCGTGGGTGTATAACCCATGTGTAATCGCGTAGAATCTCAAATAACAAAGAAGAAAAAATTGGATGTATTTTTACATCTAATTAAATGGCTGAAAAGTTTGGGCGAGTAAGTGAGACAAAATTTTATATTTTGCTTCACAAAAAATCTGAGTTCGGCGCCAGTGACTGTATAAAGTATACATATAATTATATATAATCTAATATAGAGTTCCTTAAAGTACACAATTTATGAACATGGAATAAATCAGCCAAAATCATAATTAAATTTTAACTTTTTATTTTATTACATTAAAAGTACATTTCGATTTAATATTTAAAAATTATACCCACCATATGTCCACCTTCACATATATACAGTCTACAAGCCGTCATTCCCATGACTCATATTCACACTTCTGCGCGTCGTAATATTTGGCTATACGTACGAATTGTACGGTTACGACCTGGAATTTTTTGTGTTTCAACTGAACCAGTTAGTTCAAATTTCCGTTCTAATCACAGAATTTATGATGCAGTAGACGCTTCCGCACATACAAAAGTCGTACGAAGTTAACAGTCACAGTTGAGCACTTACCGTTTTTGTATTGGGTTTTCAAAATGAGTACCTACGCCGATGGTTACTTAATCGCTCCATGACAATTAAGTTCAATAAAACAAATTATTGTTTAATCAGAGTGATAATAGATGATAAAAATAATTAAGATATGGTTGACAACCTTCAAAAAAAAAAAAAAAAAAATCCCATGCATTTCAAACACTCTTTAGTTGTAATAGGTACATTGATTTAAAGTTTTTGATGCGTTGATTTCTCTTTACACGTTGTTATTAGCTCAGTTTCAATCGATTTATAATTATTTTTGAGCTGCAAATATTCATGCTGGAGTTCATAATATTTTTTTTCAATTCTTTCAACCTTTTCTTTGAGTATTATAATGACGGATAGTACGATGAGGATCTATAAAACTATATATATTTATATGTGTGTGCGTGTATATATTGATTTTTGAGTATGTAATACAACTATATGCTATTATATAGCGTCTATATAGTACATATTATACTTGACTCAAATGTTGGTACCTACCACTTACCAGTAACGCAGATATGTTTCTAAAAGTCCAATTATTCCAGATATATCAACATCGTGAAAATTGTATGTTGATGATATTTAAAATGAAATTAAAGAAAAAATTATAACTCTTAAACATTCATCTAATAAGGAATCGCATCTGGGTGAGTATCAATGAAACAATAAATATCGAAAGACACTTTATTGCCAATTTTATTATTGATTCTCTGGAGATTAAATATTATAGAACCTTATTTTTACTCCGCTCGAAACAATTATAAAAATCAGCTTTTCTACGGTCAGTTCAATTTTTGACAAATCAATGAGCAAATATTGCCGAACAGAATACAGCATGATCATATGCAATTATTATTTTATCAGATACAACGCCATACATGAAAAAATCTACAAAAATCATTAAAAGTTTTATTCAAAATTGATAATGTAACAATCTAACATGCTTAGTATAGCATGGCTTATATTTACAGAATGGAGATGATGGATTAACACGGCCATTGCCCATTTATTAAGAAAATTTTAAAATTTTCGCTGTGTTATTACAGAACTTGATAATGATTATACAGTGAGCATAAAATATCTAAAAACTGCATTGTTAAGCCCGATCTTAAGAGATACTTTGCATTTATAAAATTAGACTTCACAATTTTCGTAAAAGGAATAAATAAACTACAGAAAAAAGCCCATTATAATTGTGTAAAAATAATAAAAGATATTAAAAAATCATTCAAATCATTATAGAGTTAAGCAGGCTCAATTTAAAAAAAGAATTATAGCCGTAGGTATATAAAAATAATTACGGTATTAAAACATTAAATTTCTAAAATATTTTTTGGTGAAGAAGAAAATAACGAATTAAATTGAGACCTAGAATCAAAAGATTTGTTTTTTCATTTTTTTTTTTATGGCATGTTAAAGTGTACTTATATTTTAGTTATTTTTGGTCCTAAAATTCAAGCTCTGATAATAATTAAGTAACATAAACAGATATATCTGTGATAAAAACATGAAAATATGATAACAATTACGAACATCCGTGATAAAAATGTATTTCAACAACACGTGTGACGCTTGACGAGATACGAACCAATATCATAAATTAGTAATTATTATAAATTTCTATTAAAAATATTAATAACAGTTTATTTTAGTATTTACTAATTACTAATAGTGATATTTTGTAATATTAAAAAATATATTTTCTACAAATACTTATTTATAAAAGACATGTAAGTATGTCTTTAGCACCATCTTTGGAATGGGAATCATTAAATCTGTCTGAACCTGTTTTAAAAACAATCAAAGAAAACTTCAAATTTAAATGCATGACACCGATTCAAGTAATAGTTTGCAACTTTATAAGAATTATTAACTATATACATAGTTAATAAATTAACAATAATATTTTAGGTCGAATCTATAAAGAATATTTTAGAGAAAAAAAAAGATGTCGCTGCAGAAGCAGTCACTGGTAGCGGGAAAACATTGGCATTTTTAGTTCCAATGCTAGAATTGATTTTAGTAAGTTTTACTTCTCATATTTAAAA